CAGAGGCAGCAGTGCGGGGGTTTTGGTGGGACACAGATCTGGTGCTCATGGGGATCCTGCTTAAAGCCAGCTCCTTACAGGCACGGGCTCCTGCTCCTTCCACTTTGCTGCCTCTGATAAAGAAGCAGCAAGGGAAGGGAAGTGAATGTAGTGGATAAGATTAACAGATAAGCCAAGTCTTATTGATTAATTGTGTAATGGAGTACATGTCGACATCCCTACTTTTAAGATGGCTCTGCGTGCCTACTGGCTCCTGCCTGCTGCCCTGCACTGCTGCTTCTGTATCAGAGGCAGCAGGGTGGCAGGTGACTGCACTGTGAGTTGCTGCACATGGGGAAAAAGCTTTTAAACTGGCTCCCCCCATATACCATGTCCTGCCTGATTCCCCATGCTGCTGCCTCTGATGCAGCAAAAGTTGTGTAAGCTGCAAAAGTTGAAAAAGAAAATGAGGGAGAAGTACAATAGGGTACAAAAGAAGAAAGAGAAGGACAAAATAAAGTATATCCATAATATAATAGGGAGGAAGAACAGAAATACCTAGAGAAATAAAATGGAAATGTACTTAGGCTACAATGGAATAGTGAGGGACATATAAATACCTAGATCAGATAAAATGCTTCAGCCTACTCTCAGTAGGATAATATAAAGAGGATTGTAAGAGGAATAGTGACAACTTTTAAAGGTTATCAAATATAGCTTTTTAAAATAATGTATTCCCATTTGGAAGATCTCTCTCTAATTTTCGAGGTTGTATTAAAAAGCCTTGAGTTCTGTGTTTAAGTGAGCATACGGGTACATGCCTAGTGTGGTGGGACTATGTGCCAATCTTTTGGGTGAGTGGTTAGTACAGGCAGGATGTTATGGATTGCTGTTAAGTTTTTTCTGCCATGTTTTCTCTTTTGCTCATTGTTTGAGCCTAAACTCAATACAGTAAAAGCTTTGTTATCTGGCACTCTGTTAAAAGGAAAACTTTGATTGGTATTGCCCCCTGCCACAATACTGCCATGTTTTCAGGTGCACATGACTGACTTCCACCTATCCAACCAGCCATTGCGGGACTTCTGACCGCCTGCAGTGCCAGCTGATATCATCATCAGGCACCTCCTTCCCCCTCAGCCTGCTTCAAGCTGCCGGGAGCTGGGTCAGTCAGTAAGAGGCGGTGGCAGAGCAATAAGCTTTGTTATCCACCACATTCATTTAACCAGCAACCCCCATTCTCCATTAGGGATGTTAAATTTCAGTTAATTAATTGAATAGTCTATGGGATTTCCATTGATTAGTTGATAAGAACTACTGCGTTCCACCTTTGAAATGTACAAGAGTCCCCAGCAAGGGCTCTTGTGCTTTTCAAAGATTGAAATGCTGCAGGAATCCTGCTGACCCTGGGCTCCATGCAGGTACTTCCACTTTGAAATGTACAAGAGCCCTAGCAAAAGTGAAAGATGCTCTTGGGCAAGCGAGTTCTGAAATAGCATAAGCTTATGTACAGGTCAGCCTGGCTCAATTTCATCCCCCATGTAGGTACCTTTGGAGATCTTTGGGGTTGACATGGTTTAGTCCTAAACGGGCAGAATGTAATTCTTTGTTTTTTGTTCATATGCCAGGATCACTGCTTGTAGAGCATATCCTAGCTTTCTGTTTTATTTCTTGGGATTGTGTGACTTGTCTTTTTCATACCATTCCACACTCATTCCCAGTTCCAAAATGGGAGGAGACTTCCTTGCTTTGAAACAAAGTGTTTGTATGCTGAAACAGCCCATTAAATTGACTGGATGTTGAGGTACTGAAACTACTTTAAATTCATTTTTCAGACCAACTAGATGTCAAGCTGATGATGACCCTTTAAAACTGCAGCTGTTTGTAGATACTGCTTTTAAAAACCTGTAAATATGGGATTTTTTGTTTGCTTACTTAGTCATATTATTTGACCTTTAAGGTCGTTCCTAGATCTTGTTTTAACTTGTATGATTATCGAATATTGTGATGTGTGTGTGTGTGTGTGTAGGGGACATGTTTAATATCGATGACTTCTTGCTGCTAAGATAAAAATCATCTCTCAGAACCATGTTATGATGCCAAAGACAGTAAAAAAGACATTCTGAATAGGTAGAGGAGAACAAATGGTGAAGTAGAAAGAAAGAGGTTTATATTTACTGAGGTGTTTTACTACGCTAATGAAGAAAAATAGACCCCATGTAGAAATAATAAGGAAATTAGTTTTTAAAACTTCACTGAACAGGAGGAGGAATATTTAAAAATACATATTTGATAAAAGTCAATAGTATCTTTGAAGATGAAAAATCTACATTTCAGTAATCTGAACATTTGAATCTGTAAATTAATTAGTGGCACAACATTTTTAGACCATGCTAATGTATTATTTGTGTGTATTATTATGTCTATGAAGCACTATATTGGAATTGCAAGCTAGTCTAAATTTATATTTTTAAATTTTATACATTCAAAGGTAAATTTCAGCCTTGTACCTAGAGAATTAGGCTGCACAACTCCCACTAACACTATGATGATTTCATGGTTTATTTCTTAAAGCTCAAAATGAAATTTTAACTTCAGTGTGCTGCTTATTTGAGCTCTGGTATTTAATGTAGCTGATGAAGGGAAAAAAACTCTGAAAAAATAGAATCTCCTTTAGAGTTATCTCGCCATTTCAGTTGAAAATTAAATCCATGCTAGCTTTCTGGAAACTGGCATGGCTAGAGTAACAAGCACAGGGTCATTTTTTGATGATGGCTTGACAGGAACAAATGCTACAGACAGCACTGTGTATGGTAGCTAATTATGGTACCAGAGTCACTTTAGGTGAGTCTGCTTTGCTTGAATTTTGGAAGACTCTTTAATCTCTCTCGCTCTGTAATATATATATATATATAGTGTGTGTGTGTGTGGGTGTGTATTTTAGTGTGTGTTTGGGTGTCTGTGGATTTGTGAGTCCATTTGTTCAAGAACTCCTCCTAAATGGTAAGAGCAAGGACTACCAAATTTGGTATGCAGCTTACTCTTCCCCTAACTTAAACCAAGGTTGGGGTTTGGTTTTGCCTAGAAAACATGAAGTGCCGGGAATGGGACTGTTTTCCATAACACGGAGAAGGAGCAGAGAAGGGAACGCAAAAGGGAGGGGACAGAGAGAGGAGGAATGTGATGCTGAGAGTGGCCACTAGGGTCAGTTGCAGCACCAAGAGAGTGGCCAGCAGAGCTGGGACCCTGCCATCTTGCCTGCCAGGACACCAGTAAGGAGCCCCCCAGCTCCAAACTGGAGCCTGCTTCATTCCCCCTCCCCCATGGAGAGCCTACAGGCTGTGGTGTGTGTGTCCAATGGAGGAGGGGGCAGCCCCTGGAGCTACACCTCCATCTCAACAGCTTGCAGACCATGACAGGGGCCCTGCAGTATGGGGGCAGTCATCGGAACCTCTCTCCTCCCCCCACAGCATGCGGGAGCCCGCTGGCAGAGAATCGCTGCCCCAGCCCCTTAGGAGGAGTTGCCACTGGAGTAGCGCCATCTTTGCCGCCATGGGTGGCCCTGGTAAACTACCTCCAAGCCCTCTGCCCTGAGTCCTGCACCTCCTGTTTATCTTGACTTCTGCCCCCTTTCCTTCTGCCCTGAGGCCACTCCCAGCTTCTTCCCCCTGCTGGGTAGAACTTTATCTTGACTTCTGCACCCTTTCCATCTGCCCTGAGGCCACTCCCAGCTTCTTCCCCCTGCTGGGTAGAACTGCTAGTACAGCCATTCCCCGACTTACGAACACACCGACTTACAACCATCCGAACTTACGACCAACCTCCCATTAACCTCATTTTCGAGTTGAGAACTATGTACATCAAGTTTTTTTAATAGCACGGGCAGCGCGTTTAAGGGTATTACCGACTAATGACCAAATCGAGTTACTATCAGATGTTGATAAGTTGGGGATGGCCTTTAAAGCTATAAGCAACAATGGTAAAAGACAATTTGTGCATGCCTGAGATGTATTTGGCCAAGGACCATCAGCCAACCCAAAATGCAGCAATACCTTGCTAAGCATGACTAGGCATAGTTTACTATTGGAATGTGTCTCTTAATCTTTTAATAGTGTTTATTAGGGATGTAACCAAATGGTGGAGTAGTGTAGTTAAGTGGACTGCTCGCTCCCCCTGTGTTGCTTCTGTATCAGAGAAGCAGCGGAGCAGGGTGCGGGGAGAAGAGGGGTGGTGGGAAAGAGGGAGGAAGCGAAGCAGGAGCCAGTGCTAGGAGGAGCTGGCTTAAAAGCAAGTTCCCCCCAGCACTGTTTCTGTGGTGCCACCTTCCCCCTGCCTGCACTAGAGGCAGGGACATGGAGGCTGATACCATGAAGCAGCCTCTGTCCGCGCTGGGCCCTATATGCCCAGCTCTTACTACATTTAATCTGCAGAGCTGCATTGGAAGTAGCTCCAGGATCCGGCATGAGCCGGGACTGAGGAAGCCTTCCCTTATCGACGAATTGTGTAGTCGATAAAATCTTTATTGACTAAACAATTAGTGGATTACCTGCTTCTTAATATCCTTAGTGGATATTAGATTGGATTATATATTGAGTATTTAAGTCTAAAATGTTTGTTTACCCATAGCAAATCTTTCATAACAAATCATTCAATCTGAAATGGGTCAGGTAGCTTCTCAATTAGTATGGCAAGTGGATTTTGAACCTTTATTTTCTTGAAATCACAGCTGTGCACAAGCTCCTAGGAACACAGATATGGCATCACATCACCAAAAAAAGAGAATTTACCTAAAGCTCGTACAAAATAGTTGATTGCGTGTATGTAAATATTTCCTTTTATTGACAACATGGTATATCACTGTAGCTCTTTATTGTTTCCGTATCATGATCCCACGAAATGAAAATTAGAGATGTCACTTCTTATTTTTGTGTACAAGATTTAATATTTTGGGTGTGGGATCCAGAAGATGTTTATATAAAATTGGTAAGATTCTTTCATCTTATTTTATAATTTAAATGTCACAGGCAGATGATGATGGTGGTGATGATCCTGAATCACAAGAAGAAGAGAAGGATGAACTGAAAGGCTATTCAAGAAGAAAGATAGTCTCCAACTGGAATCGTTATGAAGATGCTGAGAAAGAGGCACAAAATGAAAGTGGAGAATCTCAGAGGGGAACAGACTTTAGTGTTCTGCTTAGCTCAGCAGGTAAGGATGAGAAAATCGTATAAAGTATTGGTAACATATGAGTTACGTTTTTCATCATTACTGTAGTGTTAGCTCTTAGTTCTGGAACAGCACTTGGAACACTACTTGTATGCACTTGACTAAATCCAGTATTGGATATAAGAGCATTTAAAATGATCCAAGACAGAGTTTTCTATGAGGTAGCCACCGTTATGAGTTTATTGATTAGCAGCTGTGCTAGTTTAGAAGGATCTATAAAAGGTTATGCACTATCTGGACCGTTTGAAAAAGCTGTGAAAACTAACACAGAGTTTTAGTTTGCCAGCTACAGGCAGTAGGGACAAATTAGAATGTTTACAATAAAAACATTGGGATCAAAACTTATGGTTCTTTCTCGCGCTGAAATCCCATTGAAGTGAATAGTTTTGTCTAACTGAGGACTGCAGGATCAGACCCTGAATTACAATTTTTTTTTAACCAATTTCTTCAGTTTGATCTCTTGAGTATTACAACAAATGTTCTCCAGTTAAAACAAGGCATGTACATTTTATTTCAGAGCTTTAGTTGTCTAATCTTTTTTTCATTTTGACAAGATCTTGTGACTCTTGTCCCATTAGTTGGTATCTTCTTACCAGTAATGGCAACAAGACATGGCTTAGCAATGTCCGTCTGATTCCTTCCATCAGAGTGAGTTAGTTGAGTACTTAACATTTTATTTTATTTAGCCTACTGGCAAGAAATAATCATAAAGTAGAAGAACTGCAGGATCATTGATACCATGGCACTGATCTCCTGTCTGAGGCAAAGTCTCTCTACTTCAGGTATGGGTTGGATGTCTCCTATCAGGCACCCTGAGGACCTGAATGGTCCCAAACCTGGGAATTTGCTGGACTAGAGCAGATTCCTTGCTATAGTCCTGAGCCGCTGACTCTGCCAGCTTGGGGTAGGGAGAGGAAAGGCAAGGGGGACTATCTTCAGCCCCTGCTGGGCTGCATGCTGAGTTGCTGGTCCTACAGCTGCTGCCCCGGCCAGACTGCCTGCTGGGCTCCAGCATCCCATGCTACTATGGACTGCTGGGGATTGGCTCTGGCACTGGTGGGACTGCCAAGTGTTTGGGCTCCAGTCCCAGCCCCATGCTGTTATGTGTTGCTAGGGCTGCTATCAGCCCTGGTCCCACTGTTGAGAGTGCAAGTTCCTGCCCTGCAGCAGCCCGCAGGCTTTGGCCCTGCTTTCGCAGGCTGCCCAGGGCTCTAGCCTCGGCCCCGATCTTGGCTCTGTGCTGCCACGGGCTGTTGCTGGCCCAATCCTGCGCTGCTGGGGGCTACCCTGACCCAGTTCCAATGCCACAGGCTGCTGGGGGCTGCTGCAAGCTCTAGCCCCAGTGCTGTGGACTGCTTGGAGCTGCTACCAAACTCAGCCCATGATCCGTTCCATTGCTTCAGCCTGACTCCTCCTGGATTGCCATCCTACCACTAGGCTATCAGGGTTCTCTGATCCAGATACATCCATGGTCCTACAGGACTACAAATTTGACAGATCAGCAAATTCCGGTTTGGGGAGGTGCAACCTGTACTGCCCTTTCTGTGAGCTAGTAGTGTCCTCAAGTGATGGGCGTTCTAAATTCTTTTTCTGCTATTTTTGCTTTGGGCTGCACCTTTAATCATTAGAGACAACAATTTCTCCTGCTGTTTTGGACTGCCTATTATCCTTGAAACATTTAGGACTTCCATTTAGCTTGGGTAGGGTTCTCATAGTCAGGATATCTTCCCTCAATTCAAGGTTTATATATTCACACATCCAATTATATCTGTTGTTGAAAGGTCTGATACATATTTTTTCCCCTCTACCAGAGACTTTCCTCTCCCAGGGACTTCAGTATTGTACTCCTGGCCCTAAAGGATATCCTCCCTTTGAGCTTTTACCATCATGCTCCTTTTACTACCTCTTTATCAAAAAAGCATTTTTGTTGCCTCTTCTCAAAGTTTGAGTGTGATTCAGGTATTAAGGAAAAGACCTCCCAATACTATCTTCACACAAACATGGTGTCAGACCTCACTATCCTTTACTCATTTGATCTCTGGAGAGAAAAAATGTTGCACAGTGTCTTGGTGCACTCTCCTACTCTATTTTTTCCCTTAGAATAGTAGTTCTCTTTTTGGCTGGTGGCCCACTTGGCTAAATGAAAATCTTTTCATGGATCACCAATTGCTAATAGAAACTCACCATTAATTAAATAATTACATCCGAGCTATTTTGCTAGTGCTGCAACTAGGGAGAAGAGTTGAATTTAACAAGTAAGAAAAGAAATATTAAATTGTTAAACAATTTAAGCACTTTAACTTTCTCTTGTTAGTTTATCAAACTTCATTTTAAATAAAATAAAATATTAATTTGTCAAACACAAAAGGTTTCAATGTTTTCTTTCTTTATGGCAGGGGAGGGGAACCTTTTCTGGATCTGGGGCCAGTGACCCACAGAAAAATCCGTTGGGGACCATACAAGTGAGAAGCAAATAAAACCCTCCAGGCTCCCCTCCCAGCCCTCACTGATGTGGTCCCCAACTGAGACACCTCACTTGTTTGGTAGTCCAGCCCCCTGAGATGTGGGGGAGGGACAGAGAGGACTGAGGTTCAGGGTTCCCATGGGCTGGATTTATTCTTCTGGGGTTAGTGGATTTTGTGGACCCCCAGGCTCTGGGGCAGGGAGAAAAATGAGTTCAGTGTGCGGGACAGAGCTGCCAGTGAGTGGGATAGGGAGAGGGGTATGGGAGGTGGGGTGCAGGACAGGGTGAGTGTGTGAGGTCTGTGTGGGAGGCAGGGTGCAGGAGCAGGCTGGGAGTAGGGTGTCTGGCTGGGGGGGGTGGGGCAAGAGCAAGGGAAGGTGCAGAGTGTGGCTAGGAGGGAAGAGTGCAGGAGCAAGCTGAGGGCGTGGGGTCTTGGTGGGGAGAGGGTATGAGTGGGGGTATTGGGGTGCAGGGTCTGGACATGGGGGGGAAGGTCGCTTACTTGACTTTGCACTCCCCTCACTCCCAGTCATCACCTTCTGCTACTCCTGTTGTTTGCAACTCCAACCAATGGAAGAAGCAGGAAAAGCCTCCAGGCAGCTCATCATTGCATTGCTATTCTTTGGGGCAGGGAGAACGGCAGTGCATGGAGCCGCTTGCTCTCTCTCTCTCTGTGAGCTGGGTCTGATGGGGGATGGTCGGGGCTTTCTTCACAAGCATCACCCCTCTGAGTGGGAAGTTGGAGCTGGTGCTCCAGTCTCGCAGCAGCTGTGAGATTGGAGTGGTAACTGTTGGCCAGTAAGCTAGAGAAGGCTTTATATGGAAAATATACAAAAGTTACTTACCTTATATTAACTATGGTACTTTTAAGATGGTTCCCATGTCCTGCCTTACATCTTTGCTACTGCAGAGTCTTTTAGCTTTGTGATTCTGTATTGACAAAGGAACTGAAGGGCAGTTGGGCTTGCTCTACCCTTTAATGCTTTTAGGTGCAAGAGAATGGGAGTGAGAGGATGTGCGGCCGTGATCCCAGTGCACACTGCTGGCGAGAGGCTTTGATTTGGAACACAAGGGGCACGTGTGCACCTAGAGTGGGATCCTGTGGACAAAACATCTTGATTTATCTACAATTACTGTAGGTTAAATAACAATTCTTTTTCTCTGCCTGCCCTCAGCTTTACAGATAGTCTTTGGCAGGTGGGAGTTAGTGCACATGTTTGTGTAGGTTTGAGATTCTCTCTAGTTTGAGAATATCAGAGTATAGTAAACAGTGTATCAAATTTTGTGGCATGATTAATAAGTTGAATGATCCAATAATTTTTCTTGTGATTTGCTTGATTAAATTGGAACTTTATTTCCAAAAGTAAAAAACATCTTTTCAACTGAGCTTTGATAAAGAAATGCTTTCAAGTAGGAATGTTATATTTAACATCCATGCAGCCTTTGAGGGGGGGAAAAAAAGCTATTTGGAGATACAGAAGTGAATTCACAAGTGCATTTTAATTTTAACCACACTTCTATTAATATCTAAATTTGAAAAATTTAGCCCATAAGCAGTCATCTTTTCCTACTATTGTTAATGATGATATTTGTCCAGAAACCTGCCTTAATTTTACGTCAAGCCAAGAGAGGAGGGTAAAGTGCTTTGTGAAGAAATTACTATGTGTGGTAATGATGACAGTGATTGTGATCTGTGTGTTTAAATGGAGCAGGGAGTGTGTGAGAGAAAAGCAGTGCAGAAATTGAGTTATAAAGGAGATATATGTTTACACATAATTGAGACAAAATAATTGAAGGTAACTTTTTTCTACTTTTTATATCTCAATGAGATTAATTTTTAAACTATTGTCGCAGTTCATCTGAATGATTTTGGTCTGGCCTGAGGTTGGTGAGGATCTGTGAGGTGAAAATCTGTTGGTCTTCTGCATAACTGTGCTAGCATGCAGCTATATCTGGAAAAAGGAGTGGATAAATTCATGGAGGATAGGTCCATCAGTGCTGCTTAGCCTGGACGGATAGAAATGGTGTCCCAAGCCTCTGTTTGTCAGAGGCTGGGAATGAGTGACGGGGGAGGGATCACCTGTTCTCTTCATTCTCTCCAGGGCACCTGGCATTGGCCATTATCAGAAGACAGGATTCTGAGCTAGATGGACCTTTGGTTTGACTTAGTATGACCATTTTTATGTTCTTATTAAAATTGCTCAGTACAGAGATTGGAAAATTCATTTAAAAATATTGAACCTTTACTTAGAACTAACAGTGCAATTCTAGTCACGTTTGCTTTTAATATGAGTTGTTGACTTTGCAGTGAAGATAACATTGTGTGGGTATTGGTGGATGAGTGAAATTATCCATTGCTGGAACAGGAGAAAAATGTGTACCGTATTTTCCGGCGTATAAGGCTACTGGGCGTATAAGACGACCCGCTAATTTTTTAGTTAAAAGATAGGGTTTCGTCTTATACCCCATCGCCCCTCCGCCTCCCGGCTTTGCTCCCGGTGTCCCTGGTCTGCTGGAG